TCACCTGACCCCAGCAGGGATCAAGGAATAATCACGTACACTCAAACTTCCTCATCCAACTCCAGGAGCAGAGGGAAGTTAAGATTCTTTGCAGATAAGCACCTCAAATGGGAGCAGGGAAATATAACTCGGGGTAGCAATTCCCACAATTCCCCCAACTTTATTTTATAATGAGGGGTCCTGTCTTAGGCCCTGCGAGGGAAGTACCTCCCCTTACCCGTCACTGGGCTCCCCCCCCCATACCCTGTCTTAGGCCGGGGGGGGGGTGTCACCCCACAGGTTGCCCGTCCTTGGAGACCCTCATTTTTTCAGCATCTGCAGCCATACCTCATGACTTCCGGGAGAGTCATGGGCCAGACTGAGTAACACCTGACGGTGGACAAGCTCAGTCTTGGTGAAGGTGTTTAGAAGTCGTTTTAAGAGGAGCAGACCGACTGCCACCCCTACTAGTCCCAAGATCCCCAGGGACAAGGCACCTCCCATCTCTGTGCCCAACCCCCAATCTGGGCCATGGCATTTCACCATCCCTCAGCAGATATAGGTTTAACACGGGTTTCATTAATTGCAATAATCTGATGTACCAAAGAGTGGGTAAAGTTTACAAAGGAATCATTCCAAGGCCCTCTAAGGTAAACATTAAGGCGTTGCACCTCAAAGGACATATTTTTTACTTCCATAAGGGTCACACAGGCAGAATGATAGAAATGAGAACAAGAAGCTTGTTGCACCATCCACAACACATTAATCTGTTTCTGCAATAAGGCTGTTTGTTGATTTAAATTTAACATCCCTAATTGAATATGTGAGTCCATGGTATTTTGAGTCTCTAAGGCCTGGGTAACACGGGCAGCAAGAGTGTTAACAGTCTCTGCAGTCGCTGCATTCTGGGACACGGTGATTCCCACAACGGTGGCAGCTGTGGCTGATATGGCGATGGCTGCGATGACTGCGGCGGTGATTCCAAAGTCTCTTCTCTCTCGGTACAAGATAAGCTCTCGTCCATCATGTGGGTCTTCTACCACCAGGGGAACCAGAGCAGGAATTCTCACCATCAGCACGGACTCATCCGTCAAGGACCAGCAGTTGCTCAAAAAGCAGGAGCTGGAAGAACAATCAAGGACACCATCCTCCCCGACCGACCCATTAAAGGAGACAAACATAAAGGGAGGCAGAACACAAGCCAGACTGACAATAGAGAAATTCATTCCCGCTGCATAGTTAATCTGGAGGGATGTTTCAAAGATGTCTGATGTGTTCCATCTGGCTGTAGCATTGAAAGCCAAGCCCCTTTGAAGGGCTAAAGGCCTAATATCTGTGCATGCACGAGGGCCACAGAGAAACATGCCCGCGAACATAGATGAAACTCCTGCCATATTTGGATTTCTATAGGAATAATCAAGGCCCCTCTCAAGGAGTTTTTAGAGGTAGGCCGGTGACCAAACCACCATAAATATTTATCTCCCTCCAATTTTTATGGTTCCTTGGGAGCACAATTTCCCCTAAGATAATGGTAAGTACAATCTGAAGGATTGTGGCGTCTTCCAACATAAGGGAGCTGGTCTCGGAGGAGTTGGAAGTCCAGAAACATTTCTTTTAAAATTTATTGGGTAAAAGGTATCTCTCAATCCAAAACAAGGATGCCCAGAAGAATCAGAAGAAAAGTCTCCCAGAGAATAATTACTAAGGACCACTCATGGTCCAGAAAGAGAGATACTAGGTATCTCTGAAATATTGCTAATCTTCCGGAAGCAAAGGGCATGAGATATATCAAATGTTAAATTACCCAATGAAGATCTTTCTAATGCTGTATTTGCTGCAGGAACCCCCAAAGTATAATTAGTGGAATAAAAGGATGGAAAAACAGAGCTTACTTTACTTACTGGCATCAGTATGGGTGGATTCCTCACCAGTGCCCATCTCAGGGCTCCCTCGATGTTCTTCACTTGAATCCATATTGTCAGGACCAGTAGAGCCTGGCTCCACTGGCCGAACATTTCGCTCCGGCACCCAGATGGGTTTTTTGGTTCCTGGAGGGAAACGCAAATGGCTCCCCTCACCCTAGCCAACATGGGTGTGGGTGATTGCCACTGTCCCGTGATACTATCCTTCCATCTAACCCAACCCAGAGATTGGGAAGGTTTCTGCCAATGTCTCTCCATTGCTGATAGACCTTGTTTATCTACTGTTAAAAAATTGAAAATGTATAAAATTGTAGATAACTGGGCATTTGGGGAGGTGATATACTCCCCCTTCTTTATTTTACAAAAAAATTGTTTAAGAAATAGCAGCTCGTTTATTGTCCTGCTGGGGCTAGATTTTATACCATGGCACCAAATAGGGAGGGGACTGCGAAGGGACTGTCACCTGACCCAAGGAGAAACTCTCACCTGACCCCAGTAGGGGTCAAGGACTGATCACATACACTCCACCTTCACCTGTCCCCAGTAGGGACTGTCACCTGACCCCAGCATGATGGAGGAGGGTTATCTGTCTATTGTGTTATTTTCATTGGTCAATAAAGAGACTGCCTTGGCCCCTTGATAGGACAGAAAATTAGGTAGGCGGAGTAAACAGAACAAAATGCTGGGAAGAGGGCGATGAGCCAGACGCCATGGAGCCAGCCACCAGGTCAGACATGCTAAATCTCTCCTGGTAAGCCACGACCTCGTGATGCTACACAGATGGTTAGAAATGGGTTAATCAAGATGTGAGAGTTAGCCAGTAACTAACTCTCTAGAGATAATGGGCCAGGCAGTGCTTAAATGAATACAATTTGTGTGTTGTTATTTCAGGGGCTAAGCTAGCCGTGCAGGAGCCGGGTGAGGCGAAAAGCAGGCCTGCCCGCAGCCCCTCACTACACCAGCAGGGATCAAGAAATAATCACGTACACTCAAACTTCCTCATCCAACTCCAGGAGCAGAGAAAAGTTAAGATTCTTTGCAGATAAACACCTCAAATGGGGACAGAAAAATATAACTCGGGGTAACAATTCCCACAGTCAGACTTAGTGGCAAATGCCTTTCCCCACTGAGCCATCTCACCAGCCCTTGTTAAGAGTTTTTGTTCATCAGTGATACTGAATCTGTGGTTTGACTGTGATAGTTGTGTCCATGACTAATTTTATTTATTTATTTTTTTTTGAAATAAGGGCTTACTCTGAAGAATAGGCTGGCCTGGACCTTTGATGCCCACCCTGACCTTGATCTTGTAGTCCCTTGCCTCAGCCTCCAGAGGGCTGGAGTTACTGTCATGGGCCACTATACCCCTCAGTGTGTACCCTCACCCCCCCCCCCAAGGTCTTAGGCTCTGTATCTGTGTCTTCCTCCCTCTCCAGGATCTTGCTGGGTAGCCCAGGTTGGTCTCAAACACATGATGGAGCTTACTGAATGTAGGCATTACAAACAAGATACCCCACTCTGGGCTTGAGACAGGATTTCACTCTTTGTCCAGACTGGTCCTGAACTCAGTTTTCTGCACCAGCCTCTCAGGTGGCTTGAAACATGTTCATGTCTCAACATTCAGCTAAGTCTCTTTTAACAGCCAAAGGCTGCCTGGATACCGTGTCTCCTCTGTGGCTACGGTGTAGCCATCCTGAAGCACAGGAGTAGCATGTTGCTTTCCAGTTCAGAACTGGTACTTTGTTTTCTTTCTAAGAACTAGAGTGTAATTCTTGTGCCATTTTGAAGCCTTCATTTCTCTCTGTTTCTTTGTCTTTTGAAACTCTCTTATAGCCCAGGGTAGCTTTAAACTTACTTTATATAGTTTTAAAAGCTTTATGCAAGCCAGGAGTGGTGGTGCACACCTTTAGTACCAGCATTCGGGAGGCAGAGGCAGGTGGATCTCTGAGTTCTAGGCTAGCCTGGTCTACAGAGTGAATTCCAAGGCAGCCAGGGCTACATAGATGAACCCTGTCTCAAACTCCCCTTCCCCAAGAATAAAAGCATTGTAATGCTGGTAGTATGGTTATAGCCGGGAAGTCAGCAGGGCCTCTACTTGTTGTTTTTTGTTTTTTGTTTTTTTTTATAAGGGGCTTTAGGCATACCTCTTCAGGGCTATAGAATTCTCTAGGAAAGAAGTTTGTTAGTTTCAATGTCCCTGACAGAATTATTAGATCTACCGAGAATCCTTGAGTTTCTTGAGTCTCTATGTGTATATCTCTCCTATGATGGTAAAATTCTCTTGCTGAAACTATATTTTCATGTGCTTTCTCTTCTGGAACATATCACTAGTATGTGCTTTCTTAATGTCCATTAGTGTATATCAAAAGGTCAGTTCGTCCTTAAATGTTTCCCATTTCTTAACCTGCTTCAATTATTTAAAGATACAGTCATTGTGCTTTGGATTTTTTTCTCTGCCTTATCAATTCAGCTGTGGAGTCTTTGCTTTTTACTCTTTTTCTTCTTTGTCTTTGTTTGTGATGCTTTGGATGTTGTTTTTTCTTTTTTACACTTATTTCTTTTGAGGCAGGTCTCACTATGTAGTCCCTGTCGGCCTAGAACTTGCTGTGTAGTCCAGGCTGGCCTTGAACTCACAGAGATATGCCAGCCTTTTCCTCCCAGGTGCTGGGATTAACGGCCTCTGTCCCTGTGCCTGGCTTTGTTTTTCCATTTTTTTTTTATTTTTTTAATTGAGCTCTTTCCATGCAAAGTTTCTGACCAGTTCTTTATAATGATCTCTTTTTCCGCGTTCCATGTGCTCTAATGGAGTTGACCAGCTTGGTTGTATTTTCTCTTTGTTATCTTCTGTTATCTTAGTCTCCAGATCTTTATTTTGGGTTATTTATCACGCTGCTTACTTCCACTTGAGGGTAGCAGTCCAGTCGGGTCGGGGAACAGTGTGAGAATGTTTCTGATTCACTTGAGAGTGGCAGTCCCGTCGGGGAACCGGGTGAGAGTGTTTCTGATTCACAGGTCACAGTGCGGTCTTTGCAATGAAGCCGTCGTTCACGGGTGGCCTCACTCGGAACATTGCAAATCTAATGTGTTGTTTCCCATTTGCAGGACACCGCATGACCGGAGCAGAGTTCATCTTTAGGTGGGTGCTGAGATTCAGGCCATGGACCATAGCAGAAGCCTCGGTTCGATGCCTCCCAGGTCAGTCAGTGCATATGGCACAAGGGGTATCATGTATCGGTTGTGTTGAGCTGATTTTATACCCAAACAGTTCCTGTAGATAGTTAATCCTGTGACTCAGACATATGTTTTCTGCAGTTCCTGAAGAGGGTTCCCCTTGTTAGCACATTCCCCAGTTTCTGCTTTGAAGTGCATTTTCTTAGATTTGTTAAAATTTCAATCCTATATCGTACTTAGATCCAGTGGTTCTCAACCTATGGGTTGTGACCCCTCTGGGAGTTGAATGACCCTTTCATAAGGGTCACCTAAGACTCTTGGAAAACACAGATGTTTACAGAACGATTCATAACAGTAACAAAATTACAGGTGTGAAGTAACAATGAAAATAATTTTATGGTTGGGGTCACCACAACATGAAGAGCTGTATTAAAGGTTCTCAGCATTGGGAAGGTTGAGAACCTCTGACTTAGATGTTTTTATTGTTTAGTCGCTATACCTAAATTCTCGCTTCCATTCTTTTTTAAATTAAGCAGTTGCTAACATCGTCTTTCAACACTTGCTTTGGTCCTGTTTATTCTTTGTAGCTGTGGTGGTGATGCCAATAGTAATTACACAGACGACTCTCTGTAACAGCCCTAGCAGTCCTGGAACTCACTCTGTAGACCTGGCTGGTCTGGAACTCCCAGAGATCCACCTGCCTCTGTCTCTGGAGTGCTGGGATTAAAGGTGTGCGCCCCCATGCACACAGGCAACTCTTTGAGTTATCTTACATTCATTGTAAGGAAAGTGAACCAAAGGTAGGAAGATTATGGTGACGTAGAGCTCAGACAGTGTTTCCTGGGAAGAGAGAAAAAGTAGGTGTGAGGTTTTATTTTAAGAAGAGCGTAAAAACTAAACTTGATGTTAAGGAGTTGTTTGTTTACTTTAGTTCAAATTGGACTTACCTGATTTCCAAATTTGGCATATCATGTTTGATCTTGGGTGGTGGTATTTTTAATATCATTTTCTGTGTTCATAAAGTGAGTGCCAAGATTGAGACCAGTCATGAAAATCAAGAGAAAGACTTGTGGCAAATAGGAATCGAAAAAGCAGTACATCAAATGAAGACTGTTGATTTAGTTAAAACATTTATTACGAGCTCTCAAACCACATTTCAGGTCCGAACATAAAGGATGAAAAGTCTTCAGGAATGCGGGGCTGCTCCGTAGTGGGCCTGGTGAACTGCGGACTGGAGAAGAGCCGCTTCTCTCTTTTTAAACAGAGTTGGAATAAAATGAAGATTGTAAGCATTAGGCTGAAGACAAGAGGACTTGGGAAGAGAGCAAGACAGCTGAGAACGTGCGTGCCGGCTGCTTGTGTCGCCAAAGCCAGCACTTTTATAATTGAGGAAGCCCTCTGATGTGCTGACCCTCTTGGTGTCCATAAGAAGATCCAAGAGTCACGCTGTTATACTCAATATATTTGATGAGAGATATCCTTCAAAATCAATGTAATCTTACTGACACATCAAGAGGTTTCATATTCAAGATGCCTCTAGGAGATTCAATCAATGCTAGAAGTCCCCCTTTTAAGGCAGCATTTAATGCCTAAAATGTGAAGAATATAAGGAAGCAAACCATTAAATTTAATGGGTGTAGAATAATGTTCATTACAAGATGGAACTGAGAAAATGGTAAGTACACGAGAAAAGTAGTGTAAATATTGTTACCCGAGAAATCTTTTATTAAGTAGCTATACTTCAGAAAACATTAGGATGTATGTGCTAGGAAAAGGCCCCATGAGTATAAGGAATATGAATATTGTTTATGTCTCAAGCCAGAACAAAAAGTTCAACAGAAAATTCTCTAAGGGAGAAAAATCCTATGAATATAAAGCATGTATGAAAATGTATAGTCAGATGTCACAGCTCTGCAGCAATCAGAAATCTTATACCATATTTTATTTGCTGAGACAGGGTTTCTCTGTGTAGCCCTGGCTGTTCTGGAACTCACTCTGTAGACCAGGTGGACTTTGAACTCATAGAGATCCTCTTGCCTCTGCCTCCTGAGTGCTAGAATTAAAGGCATGAAATCTTACACATTTAAGAACCTTATATACCTATAAAATATAGGAAAGTTTTCTATTGTAAATCAGCCCCCACTCAACATCGGAAACCTTAGAATGGGGAGAAACCTATGGATTTACAGAGTGTTATGAAAGTGTTCAATCTGAAGTAAGTCAGTGCTCACTTTTCATCAGAGAACACATGCGGGAAGAAACCGTATGAATGTAAACTTGCTAACTTCAAGTCCCAACTCACTGTACATCAGAGAAGTCACACAGGTTGGAAGCCTTAATGATGTGACGAATACAAGAAGACTTTCTCTTGCAAGTTGCAGCTCTGTGCATTGGAAAAGTCATGCAGGTCATAAACCATATGAATGAAGTTTTCTTGAACAAGTCAGACTTCACTTCATGTCAAAGAATTCATACAGGCGAGAAGCCTTACGAATATGAAGAATGTGAAAGCCTTCATCCACACGTCATGTATCTGTGCATTATAGACCCCACATAGGTGGGAAGCTCTATGAATGTAAAGAAAGAAGGACAGCTTTCTACTTTGTTATGCCTCAGAAGTTCTTAAGGCAAGACCCCTCTTGGATGTAAAGGATGCAGGAGATATTTCTCTCAGGTCAAAACTGTATCAGAGGACTCATACCAGTGAGAACCCCTTGGATGCAAAGAATACGGGAAAAGTTTCTATCACAAGACAAGCTTCACCCTGCATCAGAGGATAAGTACAGGGAGAAGTCCCATGGCTGTACAGAGTACAGATCAGAGGATATGTACAGGGAGAAATCCTGTGGCTGTACAGAGTACAGATCAGAGGATAATTATAGGGAGAAATCCC